GACCACGCCCACTTTGCTCTCGTCGAAGACCTCCCCCACCCACCCCCTTGATTTACTATATAATGGAAAACATTGTAGCCATGTAGCCGACACAGTTAAGAATAAAATCTGCATTCACATCTGAGCCGAAACAAAATTCGGACTGCGTATCCGAAGCGCTGAACGACACACTGATTCGCTATTCGTATCGCTTCGGTTGAAGTCCCGATCAGGAAACCCGGATTCGGTGTGAATGCATCTTAAGAGAAAGCAGATTTATTCATAAAATTTCGATACACGTTTTATTTTCCTATTGCTCTTATTCACATTCAAAAATTTTCTACATAGAAAATTTTCCCATATGGGAATTTATAGAAAAATAGTATCTTTCTATTTAGAGCCACGGCAAAATTCACTATCCAAAAAACACTGTACGTGGACACTTATTTTTAATAACGTCTTCCAGTTTTTGTCTAATTACATGATTATAAAATAAAAATTTATGGTTACATTAATATTAATTTTAAGGTTGGACTAATCGGGTATTTGCATACCTTTATTTTACAGGCTCTATTTTTACCACACGGAAGCGATATCACAATACGACTGGTACGATGGTTTATCAAGCAGAATATAATGTGAATTCGGTCAGTTGGGCCTGTCTCTTATACACATCTTCTGTAAATTTCCCGTCGATTTATAATCAGGCGGTACTGGGTAAGGACAACAATCTTTCCTGCTAGGTATATTGTCTACCTTAATTAAGTAGGTTATTCCTTTCTACATGTTTAAGTGACTATTGGCACCAGTTACATGATATTTTTTTCTCGTCTTTCAGCTGTTGTACCTCGCTGTATCGTGTTTACTGCAGTGGCTTCAAGTAATTTTCATATTCTATTGTACAAATGGTAAAAATTTATCTGATATAGAATATGTAATTGGCTTCCCTCAAGTTTTCAAGTTGACTGTTATATGATACGTTAACCTACGATATTATGTATTTGTGATTAGTGAATAGACCTATTATAACACATACGGTGCAAAGTGTCACGCTCACTGAATATATTGAAGAGTACGTTTACCTTTATTCAGAAATGGAGCATTTAAGCAAAGAATTACCTATTTGATTAAGGTGTGCACTATAATTAAGCTTTATACAAAATGCATCACTGAATTGTATGTTTGCCAACATGTGAATAGGATTGGATCAGATTCTATTTCTTATCAAATTTACCAATGTTAAGTGGTAAGCAACGAAATTCTAAATACACAATATTTTCCTGTCGAGTTCTTCTGGTGGTATATTGTCTACCTTAATTAAGTAGGTTATTCCTTTCTACATGTTTAAGTGACTATTGGCACCAGTTACATGATATTTTTTTCTCGTCTTTCAGCTGTTGTACCTCGCTGTATCGTGTTTACTGCAGTGGCGGCGCTACGGGAGGTGGGGGAAGGAGTCATTTCCCCAGAAAATTGTCTTTCTCCAGTTTCCTCCCCCCCCCCCCAACCAACAACAGAAAAAAGAAAAACCACAATTCGTCAGGGAGAAACATTTTTTTGTATGTATTTTCTACATATGCTATTAGTAAACTATCTATATATATAGTCGATTAAATAAGTCTCTGAAACCCCTAATTGCCATATTTTTCGGGTGCTCCGCCCCCTGGGCCACTTTCGAAACATTTCAATCGACGCCCGACCACGCCCACTTTGCTCTCGTCGAAGACCTCCCCCACCCACCCCCTTGATTTACTATATAATGGAAAACATTGTAGCCATGTAGCCGACACAGTTAAGAATAAAATCTGCATTCACATCTGAGCCGAAACAAAATTCGGACTGCGTATCCGAAGCGCTGAACGACACACTGATTCGCTATTCGTATCGCTTCGGTTGAAGTCCCGATCAGGAAACCCGGATTCGGTGTGAATGCATCTTAAGAGAAAGCAGATTTATTCATAAAATTTCGATACACGTTTTATTTTCCTATTGCTCTTATTCACATTCAAAAATTTTCTACATAGAAATTTTCCCATATGGGAATTTATAGAAAAATAGCATCTTTACTATTTAGAGCCACGGCAAAATTCACTATCCAAAAAACACTGTACGTGGACACTTATTTTTAATAACGTCTTCCAGTTTTTGTCTAATTACATGATTATAAAATAAAAATTTATGGTTACATTATTATTAATTTTAAGGTTGGACTAATCGGGTATTTGCATACCTTTATTTTACAGGCTCTATTTTTACCGCACGGAAGCGATATCACAATACGACTGGTACGATGGTTTATCAAGCAGAATGTAATGTGAATTCGGTCAGTTGGGCGTTTTAATATTTGCATTGTATAATCTTGTTTTTATTTCATTGTAAGAGTTTGTTCTATCTGTAAATTTCCCGTCGATTTATAATCAGGCGGTACTGGGTAAGGACAACAATCTTTCCTGCTAGGTATATTGTCTACCTTAATTAAGTAGGTTATTCCTTTCTACATGTTTAAGTGACTATTGGCACCAGTTACATGATATTTTTTTCTCGTCTTTCAGCTGTTGTACCTCGCTGTATCGTGTTTACTGCAGTGGCGGCGCTACGGGAGGTGGGGGAAGGAGTCATTTCCCCAGAAAATTGTCTTTCTCCAGTTTCCTCCCCCCCCCCCCAACCAACAACAAAAAAAAGAAAAACCGCAATTCGTCAGGGAGAAACATTTTTTTATATGTATTTTCTACATATGCTATTAGTAAACTATCTATATATATAGTCGATTAAATAAGTCTCTGAAACCAACCTTGCCTCTCACCTCTGCCCCCGAATTCAGACGCTGTCCCCGCCACTGGTTTTCTGATTGTTATTTATTTGACGGGTTCAGCACATGATTTACTATATAATGGAAAACATTTTAGCCATGTAAACATGTCTTCTCCGACACAGTTAAGAATAAAATCTGCATTCACATCTGAGCCGAAACAAAATTCGGACTGCGTATCCGAAGCGCTGAACGACACACTGATTCGCTATTCGTATCGCTTCGGTTGAAGTCCCGATTAGGAAACCCGGATTCGGTGTGAATGCATCTTAAGAGAAAGCAGAGTTATTCATAAAATTTCGATACACGTTTTATTTTCCTATTGCTCTTATTCACATTCAAAAATTTTCTACATAGAAAATTTTCCCATATGGGAATTTATAGAAAAATAGTATCTTTCTATTTAGAGCCACGGCAAAATTCACTATCCAAAAAACACTGTACGTGGACACTTATTTTTAATAACGTCTTCCAGTTTTTGTCTAATTACATGATTATAAAATAAAAATTTATGGTTACATTAATATTAATTTTAAGGTTGGACTAATCGGGTATTTGCATACCTTTATTTTACAGGCTCTATTTTTACCACACGGAAGCGATATCACAATACGACTGGTACGATGGTTTATCAAGCAGAATATAATGTGAATTCGGTCAGTTGGGCGTTTTAATATTTGCATTGTATAATCTTGTTTTTATTTCATTGTAAGAGTTTGTTCCCTGTAAATTTCCCGTCGATTTATAATCAGGCGGTACTGGGTAAGGACAACAATCTTTCCTGCTTTACAACAAGACAAGCCACTTTTTTAAGAGGGCCTATCCAGTGGGACTTTAGATTGGCCGGGGCCACTGACTTCGGCTTTCAATTTAGGAACGATTGAATTGTACTAAACTGAATATACAATGTATGTACACAAGTTCCAGGTAGGCCTACCCTAGCTCTAGTGCCTATGATGTTTAATTATTTCGTAACTAATAATGGGTGCAAAATAATATTTAGAAGAAGAACAGGAAAAATGAAGAATATGAACGAAAGCGGCTTTAATTAATATTCACAAATATATATAATAAACAATAGGCCTATGTCATTATTATTTTTTACGTTTTTATAATACATTTTGAGTACCACTAAGCCTATCACGTTTTATAATCGGCATCGAACCCTGAACTTACTTGATTTCCGAAATGTCTTTATATGAAGAAAGTAGAATAGAAGTCCAAATATAAAAAAATTATAAAATAAGTGGATTTATGGAAGATATTAAATTGTATTGCTCAAGATTATTACCTGAATACAGACAATAATATATAGGCTATCACTGTGTCACACTCACAACATAAGCGTGCGCACAATTATACATAATATGCATGTGATAATTATGCAGTGACGGTGAAATGTTCTCCATGTGACAACAATATGTAACGGTACCGTATTGAAGGTAGGCCTACTTAGCCATAAAATCGTTATGCTGATGCATAGGCCTACACAGCGATATCGTTTTTGTGAAAATCAATATCAACAATATTATAATATCGATAACTATTATAATGATTTCTATAACGAGGTGTATGTCAAATCAACGTTTCACTAAATGGCTGCACAAAAATAATAACATACGCTTGAGTGCTGTATTATCCATTGTAGCAGAACCTTGTGCTTAAACCTACGGCATTGGCCTATTATTACTTATACAGTATATGTATGCCTATCTAATTATTATTATTATTATTATTATTATTATTATTATTATTATTACAGAATTTTATTATTATTATTATTGTTTTATTTTTATTTCTATTATTTATTATTATTAGTAGGCCTATTGTTATTATTATTGTTGTTATTATTATCATTATTATTTATATTATATACTAATGCAGTACTACTCGTGCACTATTTGTTATTTCTACTGTTACTAATCATCATCATTATTACATACAAGCTAATATTATTTCAATAATATTGTATTGTAAATTAAAATATGCCTTTATTTTGGCCTACCAGTAATATCATTTTCTTAAACTATTTAGGGCCTATGTAAATAATCTTTTCATAAGTGTTATACATTAAGAAATTAGTTTTGTGTGATGTACTATAGGCTACATTATTTATTATAAAGTGCCTTGCCCTAGGACACAAGCGAATCTGCACAGTGAAGACTCGAAACCCCGACCTTAACGATTGAAAGTCCAAACCTCAACCGCTGCGACAAAATTTAATACAACATGCTCTCTGTTTAATTAAAATAGTGGAAAAGTATTAAATTAGAATTTTAAATAGTTTCATCTAAACCACCAATAATCGTTTTTTGATATTCTATCAAAAGCTGTTTTTGATATAATTTATTACCCCGGACATGCGTAGGCCAATTAGGGACTGACTGTCAAATGTGTTGTAAAGTTCTAATCTTTGGTGTTTTTGCATAATGTTCATGTGTTAACGGAATTCATTGGATTGGGAAAGGTACGGTAGTTCTTGAGACTTTTATCACACTCGGTTTCCGCTTTGGAGACTTTCAAATGATTTGTTTATACTAACCAGGCCTCGATTTGTACTAGATTGAGCACTTTTTCGTCTTATATTGACGGGATCAACGTGACCACTCACAATTTTTGATATGCCCAATGACTGGGTCGAAATTACCCAAGATTTAACAAAAATTGCCCAAAATTACCCAAGCTTCCAGAAAATGCATTAAAATTTGAAAAAACATGTTTTTCACATGTATAGTTTCCCTTTTAGTTCATTTTATAAACCATTGTTTATTGTAATTGTTTGTGTTAATTATTAAAATTAATATTCATGAGGTGATAATACGGATAGAAAAATACGCCTTCAGTCGACCAGTAGTGTTATCAGTAGATCAGTGATCAAGTTTTATTATGTAATGCATTAATTAGTTAAGATCAATGGCAACGCAAATCACAAGAAATAAACAATTCTGAACCCATGTTTATAGCAATAAACAATGTTATGTGCACTTCTTGCTTTCTTGAATACTGTAGATTGAAATATACGTTGTTACTTCTTAATTCTTCCTCTATGACAAAAATGTTTAATTTTCTTAGTAAAAATAAAATACCCAAGGATTTGAACGGAATACCCAAGAACCCAAGACCAAGCCAAAATACCCAAGATATTGGGTAAATACCCAAGCAGTGGTCACGTTGGACGGGATATGTTACAACTGGAGGTTCTTATATAGTGATCTATTTCCAGCCCGTCCAATCAGAAGGTGTTTCTAATTTGCTGTCCACATAATTCGTCGGAGAATGTGACGTCAGCGTTACGGAACGGTAATTTCCATGTGAGAGAAATTTTAAAAATAATGCTTGTAATGAGGTGGAATGATTTGTCTATAAGCGGAAACGGTAGTGGAAATACATGAAGCAACAAGTATATTCCACACCCATTAAGTAAGGAAATATACGTGAATTCAGACGTCTATAAGAAAGTTTAATACGTTACCTCCCAACACTTGCTCAACGAACACATACTTCTGACCGGGAATCACTAACGAACAAGGACCGTGGAGAGGACAACGGCAATTATGCCACCCAATTATGTAGTCATTTTTATTTTAATCGGATTATATCTACCCTTTGTTGAAGCAGGTAGGAAAAGGATATTATATAAATTGTGGGAGTTAAAAAAAAAGTCTTACCATGTACAATTGTGTGCAATAACGTTTCTCTAATATAAATACATAATTGATAATAATAATAATAATAATAATAATAATAATAATAATAATAATAATAATAATAATAATGATAGTGATGATTATTATTATCATTATTATTATGACTATTATCATTATAACTATTATTATTATTATTATTATTATTATTATTATTATTATTATTATTATTATTATTAGCTGTAGTGGTAAAATGTTATCTTATACATGAGCTTAGATGTGCATATACTGTATCCAGAACAAAACATAAATTTCCTCTTCCTACTGTATATCATGGTTTGGGATTATTATTGAATATTATTTTGCTGTGTTAACTAGTAAGCCTATATTGATGTTTATGTTCTCTCTTCTTTTACGTTTCGATATATATTATTCATTGCATTATTCCACTTGATGTTTTCTGGGGGTTTTTTTATAGGCCTTATGACATTATCATTCTCATTCATTCAGAAAAAGGCCTGATTTTATTCAATACTCTCTGAAGGCCACCATCCCCATTGAGAAGATCACATTATATACAAGCGTCTCATTCGAGTACCTTATAGTTCTCAGGCAGTCTGGAGAACATGCGATATTAGTGCAATATCAAAATTGTGACGTCAAACACGTTAAAAGAATGAAAGAATCTGGCGCTTGGATCGTGGTCGAGTGATTATGACATTTGGCATGTAGGCCTATGCGAAAGGTCCCTCCTGGTTTAAGTCCAGTGGGATTTTTTCTCACTCTTCGTCTGCAGATAATAAATCAATGGCTGTCTCTTATACACATCTAGATGTGTATAAGAGACAGTATATATATATACTGAATCATACGTGGATAGTATAGGTATATTCTGTTCATCATCAACATGATTTCTAATAGGATTGTCTATAAGCTTACAAACCGACCATTTGGTGCACATTCTTAAAAAGTGTACACTACTTCAAG